GTGGAAGGCCCTTCTGGCTCGGCGTCCCCAGCAGCCTGGCTCCCCATCCTCAGTCAGGGGTCTCTCTCTCCCGCCACCCTGCCGTGGCCCCGAGAGGTGCCCCTCCTTCCGGAGCATAGCTTGGTTCGTAGGCAGATCGCATGCTCCGTACACGGGTCTGTGCAGCCCTGCTCTGCTAGCCTGGGTGTCCCGTATGGCTGATTCCGGTGAACCCCGTGCCCGAGTGTCGGTCACTGGCTTTCTGCTCGGCGGTCCCGTCCCCAGCTGGGATGAAGGGCCAGAGGCGGCCGAGCTTTTGGGCTGTGCCTCAGCCAGCAGCACCCCAGCTGCCTCCTCACGCGGCCTGGTCCTCGAAGGCTCAGGGGAGGGCCTTCTGGAACGGGGTGGGAAGCCCAGCTGTGGACTGATCTGCCACCTTCTTACAGCGCCCTCAGCCTGTGGCTCAGTTGGCCTGCTTCTGGGCTCTGGAGCTCCCATCTGTGGCCCGTTGCTGGAGGCGGGGGGCAGGAAGCTGTGGGGCCTGGGACACGTGGTCCCTGCCCCTCCCCAGCAGGCCTTTCCCAGGGGAGCCAGACATGGACAGCCACATACTACAGGGGACACTCACGTGGGCCTGGGTTGGCCGGGCCCGTTTTGGACACTCCCTCCCCTGCTAGTCGCATCTTCAGGCAGGTCTTTATCTTCTTATTCATTAAACAGTTGTGAAATTAGCAGCTCATTTTCTACCCAGTTATTGCCCTTTGAAGTTCCATAAAAATCTGAACTCCATCTCAACTCCTGCTCTGCGCTAACAGAGAGCGAGCGAGCCGTGACCTCCGTCTGATGGGCTCTGCCATCTGTGGTGGCTTGTCCGAGGAGGGGGGCTGGGTGAGCTGGGGCCGGGGCTTGCTGCAGACGATTGCTGCCGATTGCCGTGGCCCTCCCTTCTCTGCCGTCCGCCCAGTGCCTGGCGGCCCTGGGAGGCGCTGGCCAGGGGCTGGCGGGCTGCGTGCTTCCGCAGCTGGATCACAAGCTGGATCACAGAGGGCGGTACACACGGGGCTCGGCCACCGGACGGGTCCCAGGCGCTCTGGGCCTCAGTGGCCTCCCTCCCTGACAGCAGGCCTGCTTGTATGTGTGCCCCCCTACCCCGCGCAGGGCCCCTGAGCCTGGGAACGTGGGGCGGCTGGCCCCTGGGCCGACTGCAGGCGCGCGGGCTCTGCTGATAGATGGGCTCATATCCCACTCAAACATGATGCCAGCAGTTTTTTTGTAGTTTGTCTTCCATTGCGGTAGTAAAGTTTTTAATTAGGAAAGCTAATGAGATCGATTAGTCATTAGAAGTGACCTCTGCACGGCAGGGCGGAGAGGGCTGTGTGTGTGGGCCTGATAACACGGCGCCCGGGCCTCGTTGGCAATAAAGGCGCGAAGGGTTTGATTTGAGTGAAATGTGCCACAGGGAATACATCATGTGGAGAAAAAAAATTACAACCCTGGGAGTCTGTAATGAAGGGAATTAAACCCACATCCTATCTCAATAATGTGATTATCCACACAGGCCGTCCGCCAGCCGGGAGGGGTGGCGGGCTGTGCTGGGGCAGCCTTCCGAGCCTCAGGGTCGGGGCGAGGCCTGGGTGCCTGCACTGTGGGGACGGCGCCTCTCGGCCTGCCCATGCCAGCCGCTCCACCTCCGCGCTGGAGCAGGGCCCTCGCTCCCTCCTGTCCCGGCTCCTTGGTCCCCCTGCACCTGTTGGCCGTGGGGGCCCACCGCCCGTCTCTGTCTCTGCCCTTGGCAGGGATGCCCCGGACAGGTCTCCCTGGGGTCACTGTCATGAGCACTTCCACTGCCTGTGTCCACACTGCCTGTCGAGGAGAGACAGGGACCAGGAGTGGCGTGCAGGCCACTGTGGGGGCAGGGTGTGGGCTGCTGTGCCCTCCCCTCCCCCTTCCGCTTCTCGGGACCACGGGGGTGGCGGCCGAACAGAGGCCAATGTGAAGGAACTGATGCTAGTCGGCCTTGTGAGAGGTCTGCTTTATTACTCTGTGTTTTCCTAGAAATGGTAATTGGGCACTAACAAGTAAAATGCAGTAAGTTAAGCAAAAAATTGACTTCACGGTAGGCCTGCACTGGGCAGGAATGTATTTTTTTTTTGAAGATTTTATTTATTTATTTGATAGAGAGCACAAGTAGGCAGAGAAGCAGGGGCAGAGGCAGAGGGAGAAGCAGGCTTCCCGCGGAGCAGGGAGCCCGATGCGGGGCTCGATCCCAGGACTCTGGGATCACGACCTGAGCCGAAGGCAGCCGCTTAACGACTGAGCCCCCCAGGCGCCCTGTGCAGGAATGTATTATAAGTACCGCAGCCTGGGGCGCCTGGGGGGCTCAGTCATTAAGCGGCTGCCTTCGGCTCAGGTCGTGATCCCAGAGTCCTGGGATCGAGCCCCGCATCGGGCTCCCTGCTCCGCGGGAAGCCTGCTTCTCCCTCTGCCTCTGCCCCTGCTGTGTTCCTGCTCTCGCTGTCTCTGTCTCTGTCAAATAAATAAATAAAATCTTAAAAAAAAAAAAAAAAAGTACCGCAGCCTGTTAACTTGAATGCAGAGTCCAGGCCCTTGGGCATGGGGGCTGGGGGCTTCCTGGAGGAGGTGGTAGTGTTGTGCATTTGGAAGAGGGGAGCAGAGCTGGGCCAGGCTCAGGGTTCCCTGTGCTCAGGAGGAAGAGGATGAGGGTGGTGAGACAGCCGTGCCCCCAAGCAGGAATCTGGCTGCAGAGCCAGGCTTGTGGGGCTCGGGGGGGGGGGGGCGGGGCACCTACATCCTGGAGCGGCAGGTGGTGGCTGCCCTGGGAGGCCCTTGAGCCGCAGTCGGGGTCTGCAGGCAGGTGTGCTGTCCAGATGCCAGGGCTGCAGGAGCAGGGAGGCGGTGAGCTTAGCTGGGGGCTTGGATGACTTAAAGGCAGTCTCTTAGTTGGAACAAGCTGTTATTGATTTTCTTTGGTCTATCCTTGCTTGTAAGACTTTGAAAATTCAATTCCGCAAACATTTATCTACTGATGCCCCACTGTATGCTGGGCTCTGCCCTATGTCCCAAGTGTGTGTGGGGTGCCCAGAGCTAAAGATCTGCTCAGTTTGATCGCTCAGCAAGACCAGGTGTCCCCGGTGATGCCATGTCGCCCTTTGCGTTTGCTGAGCTGCTTTTTTCTCCCTGACTCCCCAGAGCTGCTGCTTTTGGAGGGAGGGAGAATGAAGGAGAGACAGACAAGTGGGGGAGGGGGACCTCTCCTGTTGCTGGGGGTCTGGCCCGGCCTCACCTGCATGTGTCGTGGCTCCCTGTGGTGGGCGGCTGCTGTGGGTCCCTGCCTCCGGTCCGGGGGCCGGAGTTCTGCCCTGCTCCTGGCACTCTGTGGGCCTTGACGCTCCACGTCCACCCCCTTGCAGGCGCACGGGACCTCCACATCCTCCTTGGTCTGGCAGCAGGGCTAGGCCCTCTGGTCTGGGGGCACTCAGGAGGGCTCCGAACCACGCTGTGTCCCAGCCTTGCCATGTGGGTGGATGGGAGCCCTGGCAGAGGGTGGGGGGACACCTGAAGGAGGGGCTCTTCTGACATCTGGACCAGGAGGCACGGTGCCAGTTACCAGCCACTTCCTTGCTGTGCAGGTGTGGTGCCTACAGGGTAGGCTCGCCCTGTTTGCTCCTGGCCAGGTGTTCCCCGGGGTGCAGTGGGTTCTGGCGGGCTGGACAAGCCTGAGAGGGGGGGTCTGTGGGCCAAGGTGCTGATTCAGGGGCCTGGCTGTGGGCGAGAGGTCTTTTGGGTCTAGGGCTCCGGAGGAAGATTTTTAGGTGCTGTCTGTAGACCCGTAACAGCTCCTTGTGGGCGGGTAATAGGGAGGTTCCCAGTCCGGGTTGGGATTTGTGGGTGCTGGGAGGGTGCATCCTTGGGGCCCGGGGAGCAGGCGGAGGTCACGGCCCATGCTGTCAGAGGAGCGGAGTGGCCGGCACTAGGCAGAGTCAGCAGCGGGTCTGTGGGTTTGGGGCCTCCGCATGCCTGGGCCATTCTGGACCCCGGGCACACTTGGTCCAAAGGGTCGTGGGCCCACCCGGGTGCTGGCACTCCAGCAGCGAGACCGCGTGCGTTTTCCTGGTGGCCTCGTCTGGCACCCACGGCCCGGCCGCCTGGCTGTGGTGTCTGGGTCAGTTCCTCGTGAGGGCGTCTCTGTGGTGGGGGCCCTGGGGAACCACCCACTGCTGGGGACCTGCTGGCAACCTCCCTTCCAAGGGGAGCTCCCGGGTGCTCTGCAGGCAGGTTGGGAGCCTGGGTCCCAGCGCCTGTCCGAGAGGGGAGCTTCCGGAGAGGCTGCTGGCCGTGGGGTGGGTCATGAGGCTTTAGCGCCTGCGTCCCACGCCGCACTCGCTTTAATTATCTGGGCACTTAGAGCTGTATATTATGAGAGCCGGGCAATTAGGTACATTCCTTGAAGCTGTGGAGAAATTGCCGGCTATCAAGTGGAAGGGAACTCGGGCAAAACAGATTCCTGTTAATTGCATGAAACATTCAGCAAGAAGAAAAGCTGTGGCATTCATCACCCTGCAAGATGTTATGAAAACAGTGGTGATTAGATACATAAATCTGCGTGGGCTTGTTGGGGGGGCTGTCCAGCGAGGGAGGTGAGCACTCTGCACCCCTGGCCTCCCGGACCCGCCCGAGGTCCCCTCCTCACTGCCCACGGGAAGCGCTGGAGACTGGGGCCAGCCCCGAGTCTGGGGGCTTCGGTGCTGCCTGCTGAGGGGCTCCAGCTGCCCTCGTCGGCTGGCCCGCGGAGGCTTGGCTGCTGCTTGCCCTGCCCCCGTCACTGCGCGTCCCCGGTGCCATGCGTGTGCCCACTGCCCTGCGTCTCAGGACTCCATGCCTGGGCCCAGCTCTCCTGCAGCCCTGGGGACGTGTGTGTGCCACAGGCGGAGGGCCTGGGGGAGGCGAGAGGAGGCCCTGCTGACCTCCACTGATCACATCTGTGTGGGTTTTCTCCGCAGTGTCCAGTCTGCACACCCCGCGGACCCCTCCCACCAGCAAAGTGATCAAGACCCGCTACCGCATCGTCAAGAAGACCCCAGTATCTCCTCTCAACGCCCCCCAGTTACCCCTGTCCCTGCCCTCCTGGCGGGCACGGCGGCTCTCCCTGTCCAGGTAGGAGGCCCTCCTCCAGGCTGCCACGGGCCCGGGGCCTGTTGGGGGCTGAGCTTGCCGCTCGGAAGTGCCGGGTCCACGGTTTGTTGGCTGAGGAACGGGCTCATTTTTTCCATTCATCAGTCTCTGCATCAGACGTACGGCCAGCCTGTGTGGGCCGCGTGCACAGACATGTGTGCCCCCCACCGCTGTCAGGAAGCTGTTAGCTGGCAGGGGACGGCCGAGGGGGCACCACTGTCCAGACCGTTGAGGCTGCACCTGGGCGTCCTTCATGGAGAAACTTCTGGTCAGAGTCTGGGCTGTGAGCAGCCCTCTGGAAGCGGTGACATACTGATTGTTCGGGGCAGGAGAGGAGGCTATGGCCCTCTCCATGCCACCCCCACACTGGTCCCGCCTGCACCCCCAGCGCTGCAGCCTTACTGCAGGCTGCTTCTGGCTGACAGCGTGCAGGGTGGGGGCAGCTCCCCCTTCTTCCTGGGTGCCCCGGGCCCAGAGTGGGAGGGCTAGTTGGGGCAGCAGCTTTAGGGGACTGAAGCTGGGGGCCCCTCTCGTGAGCCTGCTCAGCCTTGGGGCCTCAGGAGGCCCAGCATGGGGTGTGGCCCCTTCCTTTGATGAGGTGGGGGAAGGGGTGACAGCTCTGGCGGGTAGGTGGGAACCAGGCAGTGGCAGACCCCCTCCCTCTGCCCCCTGGCCTCCCTCTGGGAGCCTCCTTCCTGGGGGAGCGGTGTGGGAGCTCCTTCGAACGTGGGCCTTCGCTTGGCTGCAGTGGGCACTCTAGGACACATAACTTCTGACCAGAGGCTGTGAAGCAAGGGATCATTGTGCTCCAGGGGCTGGACCACCTCTAGTCCTGGGCAGGGCCATCCTGCTAGCCCAGCATGAGCCCCCTGCCGACAGTGGCTGCCGGGCTCTGGGGCCGTAAAGGAGGTGCCGGCCGCTGGCCCACGGCCCGTGCACTGGGCGACTAGCCCACCCCAGCACTGCCCTCCTCCCTTACCACGAGGTGGCACTAAACTTGGCCCTGCTGCTGATTTTTCTGGAGGCAATAGCTGGAAGTATATTTTAAATTAATTTTACTGCACTTTTTGTAATATTTTTGTTTTAAATAGATTTATAAGTATCTTGGGGGCTATTTCTACAAATTTATGAAGATAATTTTCACTCTCTCGATAAGGTTAAATTTACACCTGCTATTTCCATATTAATTCACACTGCTAAGTGGGTCTAATTTTTTCCGTTCTCCTATCTAGTGAGCATGGCCTTTCCTAATGCAATTTCCCCCTCACTAAATCACTGTGATCGGGAGTCATGATCGAGCTAAATTAACTTAAATTAATTTACTTAATAAGAGCCCCAGATCATCGTGAATGAGGTTCAGATTTATTGATTCTTGCTTCTGCCTCCCCTCCTGCAGTCCGCATTCCGGCCCCACGTCCAGCCCCGGCAAGGCCCTGCCTCTCCCCAGGGGTGTGGCTGGGGGGGGGTAGCTTTTTGCCAAGGAAGCCCTGGGTTTGGGTTCAGCTGGGCCAGTGCTGAGCTTGCTAGGCCCTGCGGGGGTCACCGAGCAGACGCGGGAGCCAGGCCCCGTGGGGTGAGGGCTCCTGGGGAGGCGGGTGGCTGGCTGTGCCCCCTAAGCAGTAGCCACCTGATAACCAGCCGGAACGTCAAGCCCATTAGGTGGAGAACTACCCAGTCAGCAGCAGGACGGGGAATATGCCTTCACCTCAGTGTGGGAGTTGGGGAGCAGGTGGGGACCGAGAGAGCCATGTGGGCAGGCATGCGAGGTCTGACCTCGGGTCAGGGGGATGGGGTGGGCTGTGAGGGGAGGCCAGCCTGGGGCTGTGGATGCTACGGGCCAGGCTGAGAACGGACTGAGAGTGGACGGGCCCAGATCCAGCTGCCAACCCTATACGGCTGCTATTCCCCACAAGCTCCTCATCCTGGTGAAGACGGTGCTTAGGCCTCTGCCTTGCAGGGAGGGCCGTGGCTGTCTGGGTGTCCTGGCACGGGGGCCCACCTGGGGGTCTGGCGGGTGGGAGTAGTTAGGGCGCTGCCCTGGGGGGCTGTGTGCAGCACTCTCCCAGGCCGTGCTGGGTGCCAGACGGCTCAGGTCCCATAGCACTGGCTTGTGCTCGATGGCTGTAGGCTTGGGCCAGGTTCCTGGGTGCTGTCGGCCTTAGAACCTTCCCGTGCATGCAGACACAGCTGAACCCCCCCCCAGGATGCCCGCACGTCAGCCGCGGCCATGTGTGGAGGCTTTGCTCAGCGGGGTCTCCGTCTGCCCTGACCCTTTTACCCCAGGCATCTAGGACATAGCTGAGCATAGAGCCCTGGATTCTTGGGGGACCAGGCGCTGGGCTTGGTGGGCCTACAGGGTAGGGTGTGGTGGGTGCTGAGGCCCGAGTGACTCGGGTCCTGGGAAGTGTGTTTGCTGGCGGGCTGGGCTTCCTTTGCCCAAGGTCAGCTGGGCCCTGGGGGGCTGCCTTCTCAGCAGAGCGGCCGCCTGCGGCTGCCTGGCCTCTCTCTTGGCTGCGCACGCCTGGGCTTGGCTTGTCGAGGCAGCAGAAAGGGCCTGTCTCCGGGGCCGGCGGCCAGTCTGGTGCCCACCCACCTGCTGCCTTCAGCTGTGTCAGAGCTGGGGGCTGCCTCAGTGTGGTCAGCAGGCCCCACGGAGGCTCTGGCCGACTGGCCTTGGCTGTGGCCTTGACCTCTGCCCTGTGCATCTGCAGGTTCTTCAACTTTTCCCTAGGCAGAAGGAGGGTTTGGGCTGGTGACTGGCTGGGCCCAGGCCAGCATGGGATCAGGGCCGCAGTGGTGAGAAAGGGCTTCTTGCCAGGTAGCCGGCCTGAGCCCAGGGACCGTGAGCCCTCCTTGGACCTCCTGATTGGTAACCACCTCAGAGGGGTACACCCTTGGGGGGTGCAGCAGACAGACCCCAACAGCCCTAGAAGCTTCAGTTGGCAGTGTTGGGGGCCGGTAAACACAGGTGGGAAATAAGGCCGAGAGTGCCAGCGTTGGCATGGGGTGGCCCCGGGTCGCACTCTCCTGCAGACACGCACTGTAGGGAGGAAGCGGTGTGTGCGTGGAAGCGCTGCCTTCCTGGGGGAGCCTGCGGAGCGCCAGTGACCCTGGGCAAGCAGGAAGGCCAGGGGGCAGAACTCTCAGCCTCGCTGCAGCCCGGCCTCCGGAGCAGGGCCGGGTTGGAGCCTGGCTCAGCACCGCCCTGCAGCTAATGGCCAGTGGCCTTGGCGAGTCCCCGCCCCGGTCCCAGGGATGACAGCCCTCACTGTTGTTGGGGGATTGCCACGCTCAGTCCTGCGCCACAAGGGGCCTGGCATTAGAATGACTGTGGAGGTAGCAGGGCAACGGCCACCCTTGTCCCCGGAGGGTGGGACCAGGGGAAAAGCAGGCCCCTGCTGGCAAGGATTCTTAACTGCATGCGGGGGCTCTGTCTGCGGTGCCAACTGCCACCTCCTGGCGGGCAGGCTCCTGACGTCGGGCTGTCTGGACGCAGGGGCAGTGGCTGATGGCCCTAGAGGCCGTGGGCCGCATCGGTTCAGGACCCACTGGAGGCCGGGCTGGGCCCCTAGGACCTCGTACCACTGGTGCCCAGAACCAGCCCTGGGGTGTGGGGTGCAGTGGGGGGCGGCAGAGGGTCCTGCGAGCGCCCCAGAGGGCTGAGGCTCACGCTGAGCAAAGATTTAATGTTTTGTTCTCAGATCTTGGATTTGCCTTTGCCCTCGGTGGCAGCTTCCAGCAAGGTCATTAATCTGAACTGAAGCTGAAATGTGACTTATATCCCTAAACTGCCTGTCACTTTTTTTCTCTTTCCAAATTCATTTGACATGAAAGCGCGGAGTAAACAGGAGCTGCTGTGCTTAAGCAGATGAGTCTGGAGGCCGCTCCGTCCCGACTACAAATGGTGCTGTCACAGGGCCTGCCGCGCGCAGGGCTGCCTTACTTTATTTTATTTTATTTTTGTGTCTGTGCGGTAAATCTTAAGTAATCTCCGGGTGGTTTGACGAGGTTTGGGCTACGATTTTGAAGGCTCTGAAATGTTTTTCCGAAGTGACATCTCATTAAAGAGGAATTCAGCCTGAGGATGGGCAGCATCCCCTTGGGGGTGGCCGTGGGGTCCCCCATGCCCCCCTCACACCCACCCCCAGGGCATCGTGAGCCAGCCGCGGCCCCCCTCTGCCATCCATCTGCCCCGAGACTGGGTTATTGGGCACGGCTCTTGAAGCCTGGCACACTTGAGCAACAGACGTGTATCCTCTCCGTTCTGGAGGCTGGGCGTCAGGTCAGGGTCCAGGCCACGGAGAGCTGCTTTCTCACCGCATCCTCACGCAGCAGAGACAGTGCTCCGGTGTCTCTCCTCTTTTTGTGGGGCACCAGTCCCATCGTGGGGACCTCATCCTCGTGCTGTCTAACCCTGAGCCCTTGCCGGATGCCCACCTCCAGACACCATCCCACTGGGGTTAGGGTTTCAACAGAGGAATTGGGGGGGCACAACATATGATCTGTTCGGGGAGTGCCTGCTCATCCCCAGACCTGCCCTGACCAGGCCAATGGAACTGGGGCTCCCGCAGCCTCCTGCCCCGCCCTGAAGGCTGTGGCAGTGAGAGGAGCTCTGGGTGAGCCCTCACGTGGGGGGGTGCCCCCCCATGTCACGACCACACCCCAGGTCCTGCTCTGTGTCTGGCGAGGGCCCTGCTTGATGGTGAACACATGGGCCCCTCCTGCTCAGCCCAGGCCAGGACCTGTGGGGCTAGTAGAGAGCCTGGTGCTAGGCGGTGGGGCTCCCCGAAAGACAGGGGTGCCATCATCCTGTGCCAGGTAACCGCTTTGCCCACAGCGCTCCCCTCCCAGCGGGAGGCAAGCAGTTAAGTGAAGCAGGTACCTCCATGGGGTGGTCAGTGCTGGGAAGGGTAGACGGGGGCTCAGGACGCCCAGAGAAGGCCACTCTAGGGGTGGGGCAGCTATGGTCGGTGTGGGCCGGG